ATTTTTTATTTAATTTATGTAATTTATTTTTTATTGTAATTTAATTTAAGTTTAATAATGAAATAATTTATTTTTGGTTTAATATTATAAATTTTATAAAGATAATAATTAAGTATTCTGTTAGAATTCAATAATTATCCTAATTATATTTTAGATTTTTTATATTTAAAATGAGATATTTATCATGTATTTGATGAAATAGGATATGGATGAAATCGGATAGGAATGAAATCGTTTAGGGATGAATGTGTTTAGGATGACTTTAACAGGTTGTACCATTAGCAATAGATGTTGTCTTTAAGAGTTTTAAGAATTTAAGAGTTTTAAGAGTTTAAGAGTTTTTAAGAGTTTTAGCCAAATGCTTTATAATATAGTATAGATATATATATATATATATTCCTTCCCTTTTTTTCTTTTCTTCTCTAGAAGAAATTCGAGAACAGAGTGCTAGATCCTAGTTGTCTTCTGCAACTTGGCAATGCAGCAAATTATCCAACAAAAAACACAGATTTACGTGGTTCACGAGTATGTCTTGGTACAAAATGGACTAATAAAACCAATACAAACTTGGAACAAATTAAATGCAACTTGAATATGCAGCACTGGTATTGGAGTTGGAAAGAATACAAAGACGTGCCTCCTTCCTAAATCCACTCCAAGACCAATTGGTAGTTGGCACTAAATTTACATGCAACTGCCCATCATTTCTTGACTTGTTACACAAGAAATAACAATGTGGATACACGCAAAGAAAGCTTTAGCCTACACCCAATTCTCCCTTGGGAATGGGTTATCAATTAGAAGCTCCTCTCATTTGTTGGAATTTACTCGGACATAAAAACAAAACCAAACATATCCAACGTAATTAATATAAACACTATGGTCTCAAACTACAAGTGTGATGCCTGAATGGTTTGAGTTTGGCTTCAAAGGCCAAAAGTACCAGAAAGTCTCAGGTTCAAATCCAAGGATGAATAAAAATCCCCTTGTGGCCACGGAGGTTCAAATGCGGTGACTCCGGGCTATCTGCAAAGCAGGTGGTTGCCCTGTGATTAGTTGGCTCGCATGGCGGGTTGGATATCCGGGTTAATAAAAAAAAAAGGTCTCACTTTTCATTCAGACTACGTATGAACTTCTTACAGTTTTCTAGAACTTTTTGTTCCTATATGTAGTTATACTACTGCAGTTTGAGAAAGCTTTAGGGGCCGTTTACTAAACACTTACTTGGTAAGTGCTTACTGGATAAATTTCCTTATCGGATGAACATGAGAAGGGCCAAGAATCTTACCGGGTAAGAGCAATGAAAAGGATAGAAGTTAAAGGAAGAAAACACACACAAATGGCCCCCCTACCCACATGCAGTCCCCTGATGATACCCTATCAGCTCCAGCTGCTCCCAAAACCTTCCCCTTTGCTATCCCCGCCCCCTCCCTAACTTCCTTCTTTCTAGCCCCTACCCCAGCGTCTTCAACATCTCTTTATCAAATCATAATCAAATAAGCATCGTATTGAATGAAAACTTACAATTTAACTAGTTAATATAATCTAAAGATGATTTTATATATCGAAAATGAACTGCTTAATCTGTGTGCTTAGGCCATGAAGCACCAACAGTATGACTCAACCTGTGCTTAATGCATTTTATAACACTGATTTCTTGAAATATATTTCTCAGTAGCTTGCAACCAAATTTAACGGGAATTCACCTTATGTTTCTGGTATCTTTGATGATCCTCGCAGCCACTATACTTCTATCTGATTGACCTGCATTCGATTAAAGCACAAATGCAAGACTCTCAGCACCTGAATTATTTTCAAAGGTTGCATATGGTGTTGAAGATGGTAAAATGGTATGATTTATATAAATCTGAAACATCAATATTCTTATCACCTTAAAATTCTTCAGCCTCACCCTCTCCTGAAAATGCTTGACGGACTAGAACCATCGGTTAGATCAGCTTTAGTTTTTCGAGCAAACTTCAAGAGTCGCTTAAACCCTTTGGGTGCATCTTTTTGGTAAACCATGGCAGGTGGGTGCTGAGCATTTCCCCATTCACAACTGTCGGCTTCACCCGTCTCCTCAAGAAGCATCTGAAATAAAGAGTGACGAACCCGTGGGCTAGAAACTCCTGCCACTGCATCAAGATTGGTTGGACCAGAACCGGCTGTCTGGATGGGGGTTTCTTTGCATTGAATAATCTCATCCTGACGATTTTCATCTTCAATTTCCACCCATGCAGTTGGGGAAATTGTTGATTCCTCTTCAGTAATAGTGTTAAATTCAGACATTTCTATCCTTTTAAGACCATCATCGCTAGAAACGTCAAATTGATTAGAACTCTCTGATTCTTCACACTTGGTGGGGCTAAGGCTAACTGCATTTGTTTCTGAGTCCAATTTGGCAACGGGTTCGGGTGGTTTACATTCCTTCTCCTGATTTTGACTGGTGAATTCAGTAGTCTCGACCACCTGATTTTTCTCGGCCTGGATCAGATCCCCGGAGCTAAGAGATTCCTCAGGTTGATCAACCACAACTTTCTTGACAACAACTGCACCAGCACCAGGGCCAATCCCAGTTCCTTTGCGGAGGAAAGGTTTTGTTTCCAGTGGGACCACACTGCTTTTCTTAGTAACCTTGTTGTAAAAACTGGGTTTAGCTGTGGTGGTGGTGGTGGTGGTGGTAGCGGTGGCAGCAACAGGAGTGCCTACTTGAGGTCGGACTTTCGGTTTTGCTGTTTGTGCACTTTTTGCAATTGGCTGCTTCTTCTCACTGACAGTTTTAATGGTCTTTTTAGCATCAGGTTGAGTTGCTTTTAGTGTCTTTGATCGAGGTTGCACCTTTTCGACCTTTGTGCTTGTACGAACAGCTGATGATGCAGACCAAGGTTTTCGAGTTGGTGTAACACTAGAAGAAATGACACCAGATCGAGTTGTAGCAGGTGACGCTTCTGTAGCTCTTGGTGATGGGGTTGACGGCCATGACTTGCGTGTAGCTGGCAAATGAGATGGTTTAGATGTAGCTTTCTTCACAATGGAAGCTTTTGAGGGTTCCTTTCTGGAATTTGGCAACAGGGTCGGGTTCTTTTGAGGGTTTTTGGGTTTATTGATGGTAGAATGTCTTCTAGGAACATCACTCGTGTTAGTGGAAGCCATCTCAGCTTTTCTCTCATCAAGAAATTGATGCATCTCTTTAAATTGGGCTTCTTTCTCAGCTTTCTTTCCAGCAGCTTCCTTTCGAAGCTTTTCATCCCTCTTTTGCTTATAGTGATCATAAAATCCACCTCTGTTCTCCTTGGGAGAACTTTTACTTTTGCTATCATTGGCCACACTTTGCCGCCTAACTGGCTTGCTTTCCATCATTTTCGTGAACAACTGGTTCAGTTCTGCTTCCTTTTGTTGGTTCCATTCAATTGAGGCAGGATGCTTTTCACAACTTCCCTCTCTTTCATGCTCTGGATTTACTTCTACGTCTAATGTCTCAGCAGCACCATTTTTGGGCACAGATGATTTGATGTTTTCTGCGGTTTTGGCAGAACTTTGACTTGCACAAGACTCTGCATTGCCACATGGAGCTGCATCTTTGGGACTGACTGGAGAAGAAGTTTCATTACTTGTATCATGGAGGCACTTGATAGCACTTTCACCCATTCCTGAGCTCCATCTTCTCAGTACAGCTTTGTTTGTGACAGCTGCAGGCAACAATGTCTTTGGCTTCTGAGTGTCCACATCTTGATCTTTCTTTTTGCTCTCAAATAGACTGATTTTATCTTGCACACTCATTCTTAACGCGTTACGCTTAATGGATTTCTCTGAGTCATCCTCTTCACTACTGTGACCAGCTACATCTCTCTGATTTGCTGTCTTCTCCCTGGTTGGAAAATGGTTGAGACTCTTGATGCTTAATGTGGCTGCCCTGCGCGGACCAGATCGTCCAATTTGGATTCGTCGCATTGGAGAAGCTGACCTTCTAGGTGTCGCAGATCTCGCAAGAGTCCGGCTTCTTTCAGCAGATGGTTGCTCATCATCACTTGAAAAAGAGGTTTCGCTATCTGATGAGCTCTGTCGTTCCATCTGTGCAGCTTTTGCTGGGGAGACACCATATTTTACAGGTGGGTTCAACTGAGAAGCCGAAACATTTCTTTCTGTTGTAGAGTCTTCCAGTGATGGGATTTGGCTCAATTCTACAAGCTTTTGCAATGAATCCCTGAAACAGGTAATGAAATGGTAATCTAGATTGCACATTTTTGTGAGCAGCAATGCAGCATATGTAGGAAGAGGAAAAGGAGCTGAGGAAGCCAAAAGATCTTTACATTGACTTCCCACAGAAATAAACAACGGAACAACACATGTGGAGAAGTTTTATAAATATTACCTTATCTCTTCAGCTCCAAAATGATGAGCAAAATTTTCCAAGTCAGAAATATCCTTGGGTGAGCATGTAGCACCAGTAGCTTGGTTCAGGGCATCTGCTAATTTCTCCTTCAATCCTGAGAGCCTCAAATCAACTGTTTGCAGTAGTTCATTCCTATCAAAAACCACGATATGAATTGGTTGAGAAAATGCAGGAAAAAGCAATTTATGATGATACAAACAAAAAGAACATACTTTGATTCATAGGATGATGTCATATCAACTTCAGCCTGTTAAAACATCAAGAGTCATTCACCTCAATATGAACAAATATATGAAAGCAGAATTGGTGGTGAGTTTGATATAGATGAACAGAAATAGGTAAACAATCAAAGAGCATACCCTTGCAAACAATGAAAGTTGGAATTTTCTGGTCTCCTCTAATTGAGAAATTTCATTTCCAATACTAAGAATGTCGGGTGAACCAACAATGAGTAGGAATCTGACAAATTAAAGAAACTAGAGTAAGCAGAAACAGAATGCAGCCTCTTAATCCATGGAGGAAAAAAAGGAAGAATCATGTAATACAGACGCAATATGATATGAACCTTGTCAATTTGGCTGTCGTAAACCAGTCGTTGACATTGTCAGGTGGTAGAATCTTGAAGTTCGAGCTGGAGCTTTGGGACGACAAATCTTTTACTTGAGGTAAATGTGATAACAGTTGTTGCAAGTCTCCAGATGCTACCTTTTCTGCTCTATTACTAACTGATACACATGCCTCATACCTAGATAACAGAATAGGGAGTTAAAAAATGATATGTTGAACGATTATAGAATTGATGCTCATGAGCTCGATAGCTACCTACCTACAACCCATAAACAGTGGTAAGATACCATTATAGATCACCAGCTACGATTCTGTCTATTTTTGAGCTTCAAATTGGTATAAAGAGGTAGCCGCCTTCTCAGAGTATTTGCATATAAATCAATACGAAAACAGCTTGGTGCTTTGCACATATGTTCCTATTTGACATTCTATGCCTAATTCCTAGGAAAATGCTCTGATGATAGATATGGCAATCTGTGCTCTCTATTGCTGTAACAGACAGTGCTATGAAAAGCATTGGTACACATAAGCTGACTGGTTCTAAGCATTCTTGCATGCCCTTAAGATATTTCTGCATAACTTAATTTGTAGTGTTTCTGCACCAAAAAATACATTTTATGGTGTTCCTTTTTGTGGCTGTCTTCCCTCCTGATGTATTGAACGCCATCTGAGCTAGACCCGATATTCTAGGCATAGAATCACAAGCAAACTTTAATGTATTGTATACCCTGGATTTAATGATTTTTAGTAAGTTCAATATCGGCAAAGCAAATGTTGTGGATGTGTTCTTTCTTTTTCTTTTTTACACTGAAGCTGTTGTAGACCCACATTCTAATAATAGCTTTAAAGTTTTAGAAGCAGCAGAAAACATTTCCAACAATAACATTTTGGGTCCTCGACTGGGTAAGGGGAAAAAGGAAATAAATAGGGGAGCCTAGAACTAGTATGCAAAGATTACAATAGGCATCAATTGGTGGTAAAAATTGTATTGGAGGCTGGACCAGAGGGAACAGCTGATTACATAAAATCTCATCATCTGTGGATAATTGACTTAAGTCCCTTCACATCTTTATCATTTCATAGTTGCTTGACCTAACCAAATTGATCAAAATTACACCTTACACGTTAATGTAATTACAAGTTGTCGCTCAATTCATAGCAGAAGTGCACTTTAATGGTCCTTGTTACATATCCTCTCACACATACATAAATATACAATGAATTCAACAAGCTAAGGGGCTGTTTGGCAGTTGCTGAATGGTTTGATGCAGAATGATTAAGTGATCAGAATGATTAAGAAGCTCTCATGATATAGTGTAAAATGATCTAAGGGTAGAATGTATGTAGACCTGAAACTATAGACTCTTAAGATTTTTTTGTAGAACTCAGAATTGCACTTGAAAGAACTCCAAGGCAAAGATCAGTCGATAGTACATCAAGCAATCAGAATTCTGATACAAAGAGATATAGATTTCGCAAGCAAAATCTCAGTCAAATAAGTTTTAAAAAGGAAAACCTGTTATGGCTTGGAAATATCTGAAGTTCGACATAATCAAGTGGTGCGTCAGGATCAATTCTTCTCTCCATCTTCAACAACCTGAATCAATAAAATTCCAAATTCAACTCAGTTTCGTTTCTCAATTCCTGAAACTACTCTTCATACACTTAATTTTTACGATATAGAAAGACATCAGCTGTTACATATTAACATCACTCCAAAATTCCAGTCAGATCAGCAGTTACCTACTAATATACAAAAAAAACAATGATCTTTCATCCCTATTTCTGAACTGCTACATAATAAATATATATTACTACTACTAAAAGGAAAAATCAACCACAAACCTTCAGCAAAAAAATAGTTATCATGAGCAAAGAAAGTGTCGACGGGGAAAAGATTCAAAGGCAAGAACACAACAGACTTACACAAACCATTGAGTATTAGATCTAGCAAAAAGAAGCCCTAACTACAAAAATCGCAACTCACCAACACAAAAACTTATATAAACCACAACTTACAACAACATTTCGAATCCATTTGTACATCATTTCAAATCATAAAATCTAGTACAACTCACTATGCATGCCTTAACTGAAACAGCATTTACACACAAACAGTACCTGTGTGAGTAATGTATCTGTAATTGAAGTCAATGGCGATTATCGCTCGAAGTGGAAAAATCTGTTGCAGATCTTGAATGCCGAGATTAAATGAAATGTCTGTGCCTCTGTTCGGATTTATGTTCTTTAAACAGTGGAGGAGGAAGATGCAGAGACTGAGAGAGCAAAGAACACACGGCGGTTGGCGAAGGCGCGTTGGATTACGTCTAAGAAAGGGCAGAGACAGTGAGCGTAAGCGGTGCGATCCAATTTATATCTCTTTTCGAATCCACACCGGCGCGTGATACTCACCTTCGCTTTTTGAATGACCAAAGCTTCTTATATTTCCTCCTTGTTAAGGCATGTGTGATGGCTTTTTTTCCCAACTTTTTTATTATATATAAAATATTTATTTAAAAAACTTAAAAATGACTTATTAAATGTTTTTATAATTGAATAATACATATTTTTTTAAAATTTTATGTTTATCTATACTATATTATAAATGATCTGACAAAAACTTTTAAAAACTATTTTTTATGCGTAAAGTACTGTTTATTAATTCATATTACTTAAAACTTAAGATTGCAAGTAGATTGTGCGTAAGTACAATTTATTAAAGCTTCGTATCTGAATTCGTATAACTAGTTGCAAATAAATATAATCAAGTACAAGATAAACATCTCGTTTTAAATATAATAAATCTGAAATCTAATTAGGATAATCATTGAAATCTAAGAGAATACTTAATTATTATCTTTATAAAATGTTATATTATTAAACCAAAAATAAATTATTTCGTTATTAAACTTAAATTAAATTATAATAAAAAAATTAAATAACTTACATAAAAAATTAGAACTTTTAAATAGTTGATATTATATTAACATTGAGATATATATATATATATATATATATATATATATTTTAAATTTTTATAATATGTTCAAATTTATATTTTATTCAAAAATAAAATCATTATTGTTTTCTTAAAAACACATAAAATCGTATTATAACATCGACAGAGACAAATAATAAAATAGAACATTAAAATTGAGATGTGTCATATTAACATTGAGATATATATATATATATATATATATATATATATATTTAAATTTTTATGATATGTTCAAATTTATATTTTATTCAAAAATAAAATCATTATTGTTTTCTTAAAAACACATAAAATCGTATTATAACATCGACAGAGACAAATAATAAAATAGAACATTAAAATTGAGATGTGTCTCGTTGTATTGTACGAATATTTTTCTAGTAAATAATTAAAACGTATATATAAATAATTAAAACTTAATTTTTTTATGAAACTAATAAATATTCAATTGATAAATAAACTAAAGCATATGACGAAGTGGCCATTTACCAAATGTTTTATTTGGGTAAGTGAACACTAAATCACATCATTTTATCGAATGAATATGGTAAAGACCAAGAATCTTACCCGGTAAGAGCGAGACAAAGGCCAAAAGTCTTACCCAGTAAGTGAAGGCGACGACTTTTATCACGGTAAGCGCTTATCGGGTAAATTGTTGCATACAATACCGTTTTAGTGGACTAAAATTTTACCCGGTAAATAAATGATAGTGTTAAGTTTCACCGGTAAACACTTACCGGATAAGTGTTTGGTAAACGGCTCCGAAATCATGACAAAACATTTCCATTTTATATTTTTTTTAAATACTTTATTTTAATTAAAACAAAATATATATTTATATAAATTACAATAAAATTGCAAATTATTATATCATTTAGATATTTTTATCGAGTCTTTTAAAATTAGTAGGACCTCAACTTTTAAATTTTATTTTATTTTTTAATAAAAAGTTATATTCATTTTTCATTTATTTATTTACTATAAGATAATACATAACCGTATTAATAAATAATTAGAAGGGTACTCGTACAATGCAACGAGATAAGTGTTTCGTTTTATTCCGTCTCTGTAGATGTTTTAATACGGTTTTATGTGGTTTTGAGAAAAGGATAATGTTTTTGTTTTTTAATAAAATATAAATTTAAGAATATCATAAAATTTCAAAAATAAATATATCAATATTAGTATTAGATTAACTATTTAAAAGTTTTTGTTTTTTGTGTAATTTTCTATAATTCAAATTTTTTATTATAATTTAATTCAGATTTAATAACGAAATAATTTATTTTTTGATTTAATAATATAATTTTTTATAA